GGCGCCAGCGCATGGGGCGCTGGTAGGCCCGCGGCCGACTTCGGGCACCGCGGTGCGCCGCGCGCTGGTGGCCGTGTTGCGCCAGGCCTTCTGGGGCGCGGGCGCGCCAAAGGCCGATTGCGGGCGCTTCAGAGCACTTCGCGGCGCGAATCGCAAGGCGCCAGCGCATGGGGCGCTGGCGCGCCGACGGCCGACTGCGGGCACCGCGAGGCGCCGCGGGCCACCGGCCGTGTTGCGCCGGGGCTTCGGGGGCGCTGGCGCGCCAAAGACCGACTGCGGGCGCCGCGGAGCACCGTGGGGCGCCCGCCGCGGGGTGCCGGCGCATGGGGCGCTGGCAGGCCAACGGCCGGCCTCCTGGGGCACGGGCGCGCCGGCGGCTGTTTGCGGGCGCCGCGGAGCACCGTGCGGCCCGAACTGCAGGGGCCAACGCGCGGGGCGCTGTCGAGCGAACGGCCGGCTGCAGGCGCCGCGGGACACTTGCGTGACGCCGACCGCAGGGCATCGCGAGCCACCAATCGTGTTGCGCTGGGCCTCCTAGGGCGCTGGCGCGCCAACGGCCGACTGCGCGCGCGGCGGGGCGCCGCGAGCCACCGGTCATGTTGCACTGGGCCCTCAGGGCGCTGGCGCGCCGACGGCCGACTGCGGGCGCCGCGGGGCACCGCGGGCCGCCGGTCGTGTTGCAGTTGGCCTTTTAGGGCGTTGGCGCGCCAATGGCCGACCGCGGGTGCCGCGGGGCGCCGCGGGCTGAGCCGGCCTTCGCAGGGCATTGGCGCGCCGACGGGGCAATGCGTGGCGCCGGCCGCAGGGCGCCTCAAGCCCCTGGTTGCGTTGCGCCAGGCCTTCTTGGGCGCTGGCGCGCCAGCGGGCGACTGCAGGGGCACCGCGTGGCGTTGCGCGGCGCCAGCCGCTGGGCGCTGGCGCAGGGGGCGCTGGCGCTCTGGCGGCCGACTGCAGGCGCCGCGCGGCGCCGCGTGGCGCCGACAGCAGGGCGCCAACGCACGGGGCGCTGGCGCGCCCGCGGCCGACTGCAGGCAAAGCGGGGCGCCGTGGTCCATCATCCGTGTTTCACCAGCCGCCGACTGCGGGCGCCGTGAGGCACCGCGCGGCACGGGCCGCATTGCGCCGACGCATGGGGCGCTGGCGCGCCAATGGCCAACTGCGGGCACCGCGTGGCACAGCGTGGCGCCCGTCGCAGGGCGCCGGCGCATGTAGCGCTGGCGCGCCAACGACCGCGGGTATCATAGGGTACCGCGGCCACCGGGCCTTCTAGGGCATTGCCCGCGCCGGCGGCCGGCCGCGGGCGCCATAGGACACCGCGCGGCGCCAGTCACAAGGCGCCAGCACATGGGGAGCTGGCGCGCCAAAGGCCGACTGCGGGCACCGCGGAGCACCGCGTGGCGCCAACCACCAAACACCATCGCGTGCGGCATTGGCGCGCCGGCGGGCGGCTACTGGCACCAACAGGCACCGCGTGCCAACGGCCGTGTTGCACCGGGTCTTCCAGGGGACTGTCGCGCCACCGGCCGACTGCGGGCGTCACGGGGCACCAGGCGGCCCGAAGCACATGGCGCCAATGCGAGGGGCACTGACGCGCCAACGGCCGACTGCGGGCACCGCCGGGCGCCGCGCGGCGCCCGCCGCAGGGCGCCAGCCCATGGGGCACTGGCGCGCCAATGGCCGACGGCGCCACGGGGCACCGCGTAGCGCTAACGACAAGGCGGCAGCGCACGGGGTGCTGGCGCGCCATCGACGACCGACCGCGAGCCGCGAGCACCACAGGACAACGCGTGGCGCCAACCACGCGGCGCGAGCGGATGGGGCGCTGGCGCGCCAACGGCCGACTGCGGACACCACAGCGCCACAGGCCACCAGCCGTGTTGCGCCAGGCCCTCTAGGGCGCTGTCGCGCCAGCGGCTGACTGCGGGCGCCAGGGGGCGCCGCGTGGCGCTCACCGCGGGCCCCAACGCATGGGGCGCTTGCGCGGCACTGGCGCGCCAGTGGCCGTCTGTGCGGGTATTTCGGGGCACCGCATGGCGCCGACCACAGAGCACCAGCGCATGGAGCACTGGCGCGCCAACGGCCAACTGCGGTCGCGTCAGGGTGCCACAGGCCAGCCCTCACAAGGCAATGTCGCGCCAACGGCCGATTGCGGGCACCACCAGGCACCGCGTGGCACCACCAGGCACCAATGGGTAATGCGGGGCACCGCGTGGCGCCGACCACAGGGCACGAACGCGTGGGCCACTGGCGCGCCAGCGGCCGATTGCAGGCCCCGCAAGTCATCACAGGGCGCCAACCACAGGGCACCAGCGCATGGGGCACTGGCGCGCCAACTGCCGATTGCGGGCACCACGTGGCGCCGCGCGGCGCCAAGCACAGGGCACCAACGCGCATGGGGTTCTGGCGCGCATGCGGCCGACTGCGGGGACCACGTGGCGCCGGGCGGCGCCAAGCACAGGGCACCGACGCATGGGGCTCTGGCGCGCCAGCGGCCGACTGCGGGCACCACGTGGCGCCGCGCTCCACCAGCCGTGTTGCACCAGGCCTTCTAGGGCACGGGTGCGCCAACGACCGACGGCGGGCACCGCAGGTCACCGTGCGGTGCCAGCCACATGGCACAAACACAAGAGGTACTGGCGCACCGAGCGGACCGAACCACAGGGCACCGTTCGCTGGAAGCCAACGGCTGACTGCGGGCACCACATGGCACCGCACGGCGCCAACCACAGGGCACCAGCGCATGTGGCACTAGCGCGTCGCTGGCCGACCTGGGGCACCACAGGGCACCGCGTGGGGCCAACCACAGGGCACAAACGCATGGGGCATTGTCCGGCCAACGGCCGACTGCGGTCACCACATGGTGCCACATGGCGCCAACCACATGGCACCGGCGCATGGGGCACTGGCGCGCCTACGGCCGACTGGGCGCCACTGGCCGTGTTACACCAGCCTTCGCAGGGCGTTGGCGCGCCAACGGCCGACTGCGTGTTGCACCAGCCCTTGGCTTTTGGGCACTCGCGCCAACGGTCGACTGCTGGCGCCACAGGGCACCATAGGACGACAACCATACGACCCCAACGCATGGGGCACTGGCGCGCCAACGGCCGACTGCGGGCACCACAGGGCATTACAGGGCGCCAGTCACATGGCACCATCGCGTGCGGCCTTGACGCGCCAGCGGGCGGCTGTAGGCACCAGCACGCACCGCATGGCGCCATTCATGGCACCAACGCATGGGGCACTGCCGCGCCAACGGCCGACTGCGTGCGCCACAGGGCACCACATGGCGCCAACCGTGTTGCATCAGGCCTTCTGGGGCTCTGGCGCGCCAACGACCGACTGCGGGCACCACAGGGCACCGCGCGGCGCAAACCACAGGGCGCCAACGCATGGGGCAGTTGCGCGCCGACGGCCGACGGGGGGCACCACAGGGCACCACAGGCCACCAGCCGTGTTGCACCAGCCCTTGTTGGGCACTGGCGCTCCAACGGCCAGGTACAGGCACCAAGGAGCACCGCCAGCCACCAGTCGTTTTGCACCAGGACGACTGCGGGCACCACAGGGCGCCATAGGACTACAACCACACGGCCCCAACGCCCGGGGCACTGGCGCGCCAACGGCCGACTGCAGGCACCACAGGGCACCCTACGCCATCCCTATAAGACACTGGCGCGCCAACGGCCGACTGCGGGCACCACGTGGTGTCAACTAGAGGGCACCAACGAGTGGGGCACTGGCGCGCCAACGGCCGATTGCGGGCACCACCAAGCACCAGAGGCCACCAGTAGCGTTGCGGCGGCCCCTCGAGGGTACCAGCGCGTTAGTAGCCGAATGCGGGTACTAGGGGGCGCCATATGGCGATAACTACAGGGCACCAACGTATGGGGCATTGGCGCGCCAACGGCCGACTGAGGACACCACGCTGCGCCACAAGCCACCAGCGTGTTGCACAAGCCCGTGTAGGGCGCTTGCGCGCCAACGGCCGACTGCGGGCATTGCAGGGCACCATATGGCGCCGACCACGGGGCATCATTGCATGGGGCGCTGGCGCGCCGACGACCGCAGGCACCACAGGCAACTAGCCGCGTTGCATCAGCCCTTGTAGGGCATCGGAACGCCAACAGCCGACTGCGGGCACCACCGGGCACCGTATGGGGTCAACCACAGGGGACCACTGCATGGGACACTGACTGCGGGCACCACACGGCACCACAGGCCACCAGCCGTGTTGCACCAGCCACCACAGACCACCGCCACTAGGCGACAGGCACCAGCCCTTATAGGCACTGGCGCGCCGATGGCCGATTGCGGGCACCAGAAGGCGCCACACGCCACCCGCCATACGCGCGAACGGCCGACTGCGGGTACTGTAAGGTGCCACAGGTCACCGGTCGTAGGGCGACACCAGCCCGTGGAACACCACAAGGCACGCGCGGTCAACTGCGGCAATCAGGGCGCCACAGGGCATGAATACTGTGGGGCCAACCCATCGGCCATTGGTGCGTGGGTGGCCGACCGCGGCAAGCAGGGCCAAATTCGCGCAGAGCAAGGAGAGCCTTCTAAGGTGCAAACGCTGTCTGGGGAGCAGTTGTGCGCATGACCACCAACAGCATTCTGACTGCAAGCATGATCACAACTACAAGTAGCTTGTCGTCGTACAGGGAAGCTGGAACAAACTGTTTGCCATTCTTTCCAGCCAGTTTGCCTTCAGTTGTTCAGCCCCGGCGACCTCATCCCAGCTGTTTCGGGCTCGTTTAAGCCCCTGCCGACTTTCCATTGCTGCCCATTTCCGCTGTCGCAATCTTTCAACTTTCACTCTGTCCAGCTCCTCTGCACGTATCGTCGTCGTCGTCGTCGTCGTCGTCGCTGTCGTTGCCTTCGCCTTCGTCGTCGTCGTCGTCGTCGTCGTCGTCGTCCTCGTCGCTCTCGCCGTTGGTGTCGCCGTCGGCGTCGCCGTCGTCGCCGTCGCCGTCGCCGCCGCTGTCATGCAGCGCGCCCAGGGCGCGGACGAGGAGGACCCTTACGCGCGGCTGGAGCGGGCTCCCGTCCGCCCACTGACCCCCGCCGCAAGGGTTGCGGCCGCGGGGAGGTATGGGGGAGGGCAGGAGGGAGGAGGTGGAGGAGGAGAAGGAGGAATGAGGAGGAGGAGGAGACGGAGGAAGAGGAGGAGCGGGGGAGGAGGAGGAGGAGGAGGAGGAGGAGGAGTAGGAGGAGGAGGAGGAAGATGAGGAGGACCAGTGTAAACCCCATGCGCATCAACGATGTTGCAATGCATCTCCCTCCACGTTCCCTCTGCATAGGTCCCTATAAGGATTCATTTCCATTCGTTGCGCCCTGACACGCCACATCGTACCAAGACACCATATCTGGGGCGCCAACCAAAAGAATGATTGGGACGGCTGGAAACTCTTAACACGAAAGTGCGCGGCGCCAGGGCGAGAGCAACATTAAAAAAAACAGCCCTCCTTCCCTCCGTGGAACTCTTGCAAAATTTGAAGACGAATGTGTGCGGCGCTAGTGCAAGAACCACATTTTGAAAAGGAACCGCCATCCATCCGTGAAGATCTGGTAGACTTTTACGACGAATGTACGCGGCGCTGTGGCTAGAATCAGATTTTGAAGAACACCCGCCCTCCATCCGTGAAGCTCCTGCAAACTTTTAAGACGAATGTGCGCGGTGCCGAGGCGAAGATAACATTTTGACAATGACCCGTCCTCCATCCGTGAAGCTGTTGCAAGTTCTTCGCTCCAGGATCATACGCTTTGAGGAAGCCTCATGCTAAACGCCCGCCGTGCCCCTTCGACCGGCCTCGGGGTGCGACAGGTTTTTTTTTTTTTGTTGTTTCTTTTTCCTCTCTCCTCTCAAAAAACACATATATATATATAGATTCCCCAATCAGAGCTTGCCTCTGTAGGGGTCCTAGCGGATTCATATGGTTAGATTAGGTTTGCCGCCGATTTTCGCTGCACGCCCGGGTGCCCGGGTGCCCGGGGGTGCCCGGGTGCCCGGGTGCCCGGGGGTGCCCGGGTGACCGGGTGCCCGGGGGTGCCCGGAGGTGCCCAGGGGTGCCTGGAGGTGCCCCGGGGTGCCCGGGGGCTCTATCGCCCTATAGCCCTATAGCTCTATAGCCCTATATCCTTATAGACCAATAGACCTATAGACCTATAGCCCTATAGCCCTATAGCCCTATATCCCTAATGTCCCTACAGCTCTATAGCCCTATAGCCCTATAGCCCTATAGTCCTTATGCCCTATAGCCCAATCGCCCTATAGCCCTATAACCCGATAGCCCTTATGGGCCTATAGCCCTATAGCCTTACTGCCTTGTAGCCCTATAGCCCTATGTTCCTATAGCCCTATAGCCCTAGTCCTATAGCCCTAACCCTATGGTCCTATAACTGTATAGCCCCATAGCCCTACAGCCCTAAAAGTATAATATGATTGGGTTTTTATCCGGTATCATATACATATATACATGTATATATATAAGAACAGGACTGGAGGAGGAGGAGTGAAGGGGGGAGGAAGAGGAGCAGAAGGGACGAGAAGGAGGATGAGAAGGTGGAGGAGGAGGAGGAGGGGGAGGAGGAGGAGCTGGGAGGAATGCGACAAGGAGGAGTTAGTTAGAAGGAAGAGGGATGGAGGATGAGGGGGCGAGGAGCGAAGCGGTGAGGAGGGGACGGCGGATTGGGAGGGGAGGATTAGAGGGGGGTGGGAGGCAGGACGGGATTAAGATGACTTTTCGAATGATGATTGTGATGATTGTGATGATGCTGATGATGCTGCTGATTTTGATGATGATGATGCTGATGATGATGATGATAATGATGATGATGATGATTGCGATGATGATGATGATGATGGTGATGCTGCTGCTGATGCTGATGATGATGATGATGATGATGCTGATGGTGATGATGATGATGCTGATGATGATGATGATGGTGATGATGCTGCTGCTGATGATGATGATGATTGTGTGATGATGATTGTGATGATGGTGATGGTGATGGTGATGCTGATGATGGCGGTGGTGATGCTGATGATGATGGTGGTGGTGGTGGTGGTCATGGCTTTGGTGAAAGTGACGATGGTAATGGTTGTGGTGGTGACGGTTTTTGTGGCGGAGATGATGGTGATGATGATGGTGATGATGCTGATGATGGTGATGATGCTCAGGCTGCTGCTGATGTTGTAGTCGTGGTTGTCGTTGTCGTTGTCGTTGTCGCTGCTGTCGTCGTCGTCGTCGTCGTCGTCGTTGTCGTTGTCGTTGTCGTTGTTGTTGTTGTAGTAGTTGTAGTAGTTGTAGTAGTTGTTGTTGTGGTTGAATTTTCATTTCTAAAGAACAATTATTGTTGATAACCCGCCAGGGCACCTGGCATTTTTCAATTAAGGTGTTCCTCCCGTGGCTCGCACCCTGTTTCTTAGCGGGGGGTCACTAAACTGGCCCCCTGCCTCCCGAGTTACAACAACCACGACTCCGGCCTGATAAATCCTCACATTTTTTTGAAATCGCGCTCTCCTTTTGGTTTCCCTACCAGTTATGCAGGACTCGCGCTCTCGCGTGGACCTTCTTCGTAATATATTCAGACGCTGCGCCCGCACGCTTTCGCTTCGGCCTTTCTCGCGATTTACTTGGGAATCGTGCTATCGCTCGAGCGTTCCTCGCGATTCATACAGTATTCACGCAGCAGCAACACGCCTTCTCGATTTTGCCGCTTGGGCCCCCCTTCCCCGCCCGTTAGGGTCTAACCCGCCCGATGGGCCCGCATTGTTCTGCCACGTGTTTTCTGCTCCTAGACCCCCCCTGCTAATCCCGTGGTCTATTCTTCTCCCTCCCTCTTCCATCCGTCCTCTCTTCCCCTGTTTCAGGGGCTGCGCCACTCACACGCGGCAGGTATGGAAGATATACCCCACCCCCGGGGGGGGTACGATCGAAGAGGGAGTGGGCGGGTATCGACGATTTGGGAAATACGCGTTCAATGGCATGTGAGCAGGAAATGGCGAACAGTCTTGACATGATTGCTTTTGTTGTTGTGGTTGATGATGATGATGATGACGGTGGTGGTGGTGGTCATGGTGGTGGTGGTGGTGATGATGAAGCTGCTGATGATGATGACGATGGTAATTCTGTTGATGATGGTGATGGTGATGGTTTTGGAGGTGGCGGTGATGATGATTATGATGCTGCTGCTGATGATGATGATGATGAAGCTGATGATGGTGATGAGGATGCTGCTGATGGTGGTGATTGTGGTGACGATGATAATGCTAATGATGATGAGAATGCTGCTGATGCCGATGATACTAATGCCGACGACGACGACGGCGACGACGACAACGATGATGGTGATGCTGATGATCATGATGCTGATGATGGTGATGATGATTACGATGATGATGATGCTGACGCTGATGCTGATGATCATGCTGACGATGATGATGATGATCTTGATTATGATGATGATGAGGCTGACGATGCTGATGACGACGCTGCTGAGGATGATGATAAAGATAATGATTATGATGATGATGCTGCTGATGATGCTAATGATGCTGCTGCTGATGATATGGTGATGGTGATGATGCTGCTGATGATGATGCTGATGATGATGGCGACGACGACGATGATGATGCTGATGATTATGATGATGCTGATGCTGATGCTGATGATGATGACGATGACGATGGCGATGCTTATGATGATTCTGATGATCATGATGATGATGCTGATGCTGATGATGATGCTGATGACGATGATGATGCTGATGATGATGACGATGATGATGATCATGCTGATGATTCTGATTCTGATGATGCTGATCATGATGTTGACAATCATTATGATGCTGATGATGCTGATGATGATGATGATTCTGCTTCTCATGAGGCTGATGATGGTGGTGATGATGATGCTGATACTCATGCTGATGATGATGATGCTGATGATGATGCTGCTGCTGATGATGCTGCTGATGATGGTTATGATGATGATGGGGCTGATGATGATGATGCTGATGATTGTGATGATGATGCTGCTGATGATGATGATGACGATGCTGATGATGATGATGCTGATGCTGATGCTGATGATGACGATGATGATGCTGATGATGATGATGATGCCGATGGTGATGCTGATGATGCTGATGATGATGCTGATGATGATGATGATGATGATGATGCTGATGATGATGATGGTGATGATGATGATGATGCTGCTGATGATGATGATGATGATGATGCTGATGATGCTGATGATGATGATGATGATGATGATGCTGACGATGATGCTGATGCTGATGATGATGCTGCTGATGATGATGATGATGATGATGCTGATGATGATGCTGATGATGATGCTGATGATTATGCTACTGATGATGATGCTGATGATGCTGATGATGATGGTGGTGCTGATGATGATGATGAGGATGATGATGATGATGATGATGAATGCTGATGCTGCTGCTGCTGATGATGATGATGCTGATGATGATGATGATGATGATGATGATGATGATGATGTCGATGCTGATGCTGATGATGATGATGATGCTGATGCTAATGATGCTGATGATGATGCTGATGATGATGCTGATGATGATGATGACGACGACGATGATGATGATGATGATGATGATGATGATGATGATTATTCTGCTTCTCATGAGACTGATGATGGTGGTGATGATGATGCTGATACTCATGCTGATGATGATGATGCTGATGATGCTGCTGCTGCTGATGATACTGCTGATGATGATGATTATTATGATGATGGGGCTGATGATCATTATGATGATGCTGATGATTATGATGATGCTGATGATGATGATGCTGCTGATGATGATGATGATGCTGACGATGCTGATGATGATGATGCTGCTGCTGCTGATGATGATGATGATGATCATGATGAGGAGGAGGAGGATCAGGATGTGGAGGAGGAGGAGGAGGAGGATCAGGATGTGGAGGAGGAGGAGGATCAGGATGTGGAGGAGGAGGAGGAGGAGGAGGAGGAGGAGGATGAGGAGGATCAGGAGGAGGAGGGGGAGGATCAGGATCTGGAGGAGGAGGAGGCGGAAGAGGATGCCCCTGCGCGTCCAGGTTCTCCGGGACAGCAAGCCGCTGCCCGCTGCGAAGCCCAGCGCGGGCCCCCTCTGCCCCGACGCGCTCGCGCCGAATGTCTGCCGCCTCCCCCTGCGCCTCCACCTCCCTCCCTCTCCTCGTCCTCTTCCTTGCCCGTGCCCTCCTCCCGTGCCCTCCTTCATCCCCCTCCCCTTCCCCCCATCTCCCCTCCCCATGCCCCCCCTGCCTCCCCCCCCGCCCGCACCAGCCCCCCCTCCCCCCCCCGTCCCCCTCCTGCTCCTCGCTTCCGCTCCCCTCCTCTTCCTCCTCGCCCCCGCCAAGAGGAGGCCCAAGATGAGGCCCACGAGGACCCAAAGGCGTCCGAAGAGGCCGGGCCAAACCTGTCCTCGAGAGAGCAGCGGAAGGGCCCACAGGGCGTCACGAGGATCCCACACGAAGGCGCCGAAGAGGTGCTCGGATAGACCCCACGAAGGGGGTCTCAAGAGCCCCGCAAGAGAGCGTCAAGGGACCCCCAAAGGGAGCCCCAACAGGAGCTCCGATAGGTCCCCGAGCAGACTTTCAGAGATGCCCCCAGGATGTGGGAGAGGGGTGTGGGCGGGACAGAGCTTTCGGAGAGGTCCCGAAGAACACCCAGAATGCCCCAAGAGGAGCCTCACGAGGCGGCCCAAGAGGGCCCCGATGATGCTTCAAGAGAGGCCCCAAGAGGGGGCCCATGAGCTCCCCAATGGAGCAGATGGCAGCAGTGGCATCCCCAAGTGGGCCGCGAGAAAGCCCCAAGAGTGACCCCAAGATGATGGCCAGTGCAGAGGGCTTGACCACAGGGGGGGGAAACCACTGGAGGAGTTTTTTGGTTGTTGGAGGGCCCTCCAGCCGAGGGGTTGTGTCTCCCCGACCTGCCACCTGGTCTCCGCGCGGCCCTGCTCCCCCCTCCCTCCCTCTCCCTCCACCTCCTCCTTCCCTCCTGCTGCTGCTGCTGCTGCTGCTGCTCCTGCTCCCTCCTCCCCCATCCTCACCATGTCACGCCCCCCCCCCGCCCCCTTCCTGGCCCTCCTGGCCCCCTCCCGCCCTCCTGGCCCCTCCCCCTTCTCCCCCTGGGAGGGGGAGGAGGAGGAGGAGGAGGACGAGGAGGAGGAGGAGGAGAAGGAGGAGGAGGAGGAGGAGGAGGAGGGGAGGAGGAGGAGGAGGAGGAGGAGGAGGAGGACGAGGAGGAGGAGGAGGTAACTCGGTGACTCGGTAACTCGGTCTGGTAGGATCCGCTCCAGGGCAGAGCCTACCCCTAACCACAAAGACTAGGAGTATGTAGTCCCTCAACAAGCACATCCTAAACCCAAGGCGCACACCAGCATGATCCCCGCTCCGATGGGACGGGGTTGCATCGGCCTCGCCATCCAGGCGATGCCCAAACTAAACAGCCTCCTTCAGCCTGCCCGCCCACGCACGTTCTCCTCCCCGCTCCCGCGGGGCTGGGTGATGAGGTCATGCCGCTCTCTTCTTTTTCTCTTCCCATCTTGTGGCTGTCAGTGAGCCCTCATTGGTCAGAATGGTCAGAATGGTCCGCGGGGCTGGGCCAGCTTCCTGCCCCCCGACGGCGAGGGCATCTCGGGGCAGGGACCTTATCCCCGCCTTCCTGCCGCCCCTGGGGAGGTCGGCATCCCGCTGACCCTGCCAGGGGGAGGAAGCGCTGCGGGCAGCGGCTGCGCGGACCCGCGGGCGCGGCCCGGCCCCCTGGGGGCGCCGCTTCCCGCGTGAGTCTCCGCGGCTGAGTCTCCGCGGCTGACGCCTGAGATCCTGGCACAGGTCGAGGCCCGCCGCTGGGCCGCCCGCTCCTGGCGGGCGCTGCGGCAGGCCACGCAGGTGGTGATGATGATGAGGATGATGATACTGATGATGAGGGTGGTGGTGATGATGATGAGGGTGGTGATGATGATGATGATGATGATGATGATGATGATGATGATGATGATGCTGATGATGATGCTGATGACGATGACGGTGATGGTGGTGGTTATGGTGATGGTGATGGTGAACATGACGGTGCTGATAACGACGACGATAATGATGGTGACGATGAGGATTCTGATGATTATGATGATGTTGATTCTGATGATGATGATGACGATGGTGATGGTGCTGATGATGCTGATGATGATGATTATGATGGTGTTGGTGATGATGATGGTGGTGCTGATGGTGACGATGCTGATGATGCTGGTGGTGGTGGGACGAATGATGATGATGATGATGATGATGATATTAGTGATGTCGATGGTGATGATGACGGTTACCAATCATGATGGTGATAGTGATGGTGATGATGATGCGGGTGATGATGGTGATGATGATTATGATGATGATGATGATGATGATGATGATGATGATGATGATGATGACGATTATGGTGTCGATGATCATGATGATGATGATGGTGGTGATTGTGATGACTATGATGACGATCATTCGGATGATTATGATGACGATGACGATGACAATGTTGATGATGACGATGATGTTGATGATGATGCTGGTGTTGGTGATGATGATGATAATAGTGATGGTGACGGTGATGGTG